TGATTAGTTTGATTTTGAAAGTCTACAACCTGGAAATTATTTTTTTTAACATTTAAATATTTTCTCATCTATAAAATCATACTTTGAATAAAAAAACACTGAAAATAATAATACACATTTAACACATAACATTCACTCACAAAAATGAATGAATGAGACAGAGAAAGATAGAGTTATATGAGAGATGAGAGAGTGTGTTTAAAACGTCTAAGAAATAGGATATATATATATACACACTCACTATATATATATATAGTGAATGTGTGTATTTAAAAGAGATACGAGATGAAGAGAAAGAAAGATAGTTGGGTGTATGAGATAGAAAGAAAAATAGTTATATAAGATACGAGAGATTTAGAGTTGTAAAAAGAATAAAAGTCCAATTAAGATTATCAAATCAATAATTCTCAAACGATTTGAATCACAAAAAAGTCAAGACAAAAGTGTAAAACTTTAAAATATATATATAATACTTTAAAATGTCAACAGAAGCGTAAAATTTTTGTTTGACTATTTTGTCCTTAATCACTATTATAAAGTCAATTATATCCTCTCATTTATTTTCATTTTCTTTAATTAATTACATAATATTCTCATATCTTTTCATCTTCTTAAATTAATTAAGTGTGTAAATTTAACATTTAATTATATTCATTTTAACTTAATATTTAAGTTTAATTATTAACTATTTATTAATTTAATTATATTCATTTAATTATTTTCCTTGTCCAATCTTATTTTATCTATACTACTAATAAAAGTATAATAATCAAAATAAATTTTATAAATTTTATCCCTATTATTTTTATAATCTATCTATCTTACTACTTTAAAAATATCTATGCTACTTTAAAAACTACTTTAAAATATCAACATTTGTGAATTTTTTTTTTCCTATTTTGACCCCTTAACAATATAATTAGGACATTTAGATACTGAAATTGTTAACCATCATTTAGACACTTCTATAATGGATATGGTTATCTACATCTTTTATTTTCAGATTTCACGTTAAGTCTTTTGGTTCTCTCTGACTCTTAGCTACAAAGCCATTTTATGAACCACACCGAGAGGCAAAATAAAGCAAACAAGAAGATAATTTTGATCTAAATTCCGTGAGTGGGTCTGCGAACCTTTTCCCCTCTTACTTTACATGCTATTTAGAAAATTTTTGAACTCATATATGTAATCATTCTTATAGATTTCATGCACTTGGACATCAAAGCAAGGATTCTATGAAATATTCTCAACACCAGTGGACAGAAAAATTGTATTCTAGAAGTTCTGAGACTTCCACCATTAACGAATTTAAGCTATGCAACTAGGTTTTAACGTTCGATCAACCACGGTACGATTCTCTCTCAGCTTCTTCATCTCCCTCTCTCTCTCTCAACTTTTTACTTTTTAAATAGAAAGCAGTTGCCTTGTAGACCATGCAATATAAATTGATTAAGTGGCCAGAGTGACTATTTGTAACATGCTCTTATTCTTTTGAACCAAATAAATTTGGAAAGCAAATTTATAAATCTCAACCACTAATGACCTAATCTACGATCGGCAATGCACACTAGTTGACAGGTACAAAGCACCCAAGGTGTTCAACATCCTTTTGAAGACACCCACCGACAGAGATATTCTCCATGTAAAGTCCACACCATCTTGGTTGAGTTATTTGAATGCTNTTGAAGACACCCACCAACAGAGATATTCTCCATGTAAAGTCCACGCCATCTTGGTTGAGTTATTTGAATGCTTCATTGATTATTAAAGTCACAAGTCATACTGGTGCTCGGTGCATCCATAATTCTGTTGATTTATTTGTCAATGGGTTCTTTGCCAAGAATTATTGCTCTATGAATTGAAATGTAAGTAGCATTGGTACATTAACCATCTGTTTTCTAAGAAAATTGAGAAAAAGATAAGTAAGAAAAATTCTAAAATTTTGGCTCTTTCTTTCTGTTTTTTCATTTGTCTTCTCTGGATATCTTGTTAAATAGAGGAAAACAAAGCAAAAAACAACAGAAATTGAAGTAAGAAAAAAATAATTTATATCATTTTGAGGCCTTAGAGTTTATATTTATTTTTTTGCTATTGCTTAGAGAATAGATTTTATTGCATTTATAGTTAATCGATTTCTATTAATTAGTTGATTGTGAGTTTGGGACATGCATTCTCTTTTATCAAAGTTGAGGCAATTTTGCAGTTGGTTTCCAAGCATTACTTTACTTCACAAAAAAGATTAGTGGTGTTGGTAAAGACGCAAATTTGATCTAGGCAGTATGTATTGTTTACCCTTGTCTTTGGTAATTTTTTTTTTTTTTGGGAAGGGGAAGGAGAAAGGGGGAAGGAGGAAAGGGATTTGAACTATTGACTTCAAAAAGGTAAAATTTTTACAAGATAAGGAGTATCATTAGACCAAAAATCCATTGGTTTGTCATTGGTAATGTGTAGGCATTCTAGCATCCTAAACTAGAGTCATTTGTTGCTCCATGTTATCCTTTGAAACTTAGAATTTCTTANTGGGAAGGGGAAGGAGAAAGGGGGAAGGAGGAAGGGGATTTGAACTATTGACTTCAAAAAGATAAAATTTTTACAAGATAAGGAGTATCATTAGACTAAAAACCCATTGGTTTGTCATTGGTAATGTGTAGGCATTCTCGCACCCTAAACTAGAGTCATTTGTTGCTCCATGTTATCCTTTGAAACTTAGAATTTCTTACTTTTACACTCTTCTAATGTGCAAAATGAACACTAATAGAGAATTATTTTAGATCATAAAGCATTCTATGTACACAGACACTTACCCCCTTATTTCTTTACAAACGTGTTTCAACAAATTAGTTGTTGTCTATGGGATTTTCAATATTTAGCTGGTAAAAATTGTTAAGTTGCTAGGGCAATGGGTTTTTCTTATCATATAATCATTATAATATGCACAANAACATTCTATGTACACAGACACTTACCCCCCTATTTCTTTACAAACCTGTTTCAACAAATTAGTTGTTGCCTATGGGATTTTCAATATTTAGCTGGTATAAATTATTAAGTTGCTAGGGCAATGGGTTTTTCTTATCATATAATCATTATAATATGCACAATTTTTGTATAAGTAATGCTAACTATGAGTAAATAAACTAGCGTGACTAATATTGCTTCGTGGAATAGGTAACCCTCTCTAGGACAACTATGGCTTCTAAATTTAATATTCATTTCTTTCCATTATGCTTTAACAAGGTCTCAAGCAGTGTTGATCTTTTTGACGACTTGAAAGACATAGTTGGTTTTATTGGTCCAACCATACGTGGACTTTTTTTTTGGAGCCTATTCAAGTGATACATGAGCTTCTTTTTTTTTTTTTTTTTTTTTTTTTTTTTTTTTTTTNTTTAATATTCATTTCTTTCCATTATGCTTTAACAAGGTCTCAAGCACTGTTGATCTTTTTGACGACTTGAAAGACAGTTGGTTTTATTGGTCCAACCATACGTGGACTTTTTTTTGGAGCCTATTCAAGTGATACATGAGCTTCTTTTTTTTTTTTTTGTTTTTTTATTATTATTTATTATGATGTATTGCACATTTTCTCTTCTTAAATATGCACTTTTTTAATATGATTAGATTGATTATTATTTTTTCAAAATGATGCACATGCAATGCACGTGTGCATCAACTAGTATATATAAATGAGATTTGAATATATTTTAAATTTTAAAATATGAATTTTATATGAATAACTTAATTATGAAAGATCTAAAATTAAGGAGATTTGATTTTGCTTAATTTTTGAATTGTGTATTTGATTTTGTTNACTAGTATATATAAATGAGATTTGAATATATTTTAAATTTTAAAATATGAATTTTATATGAATAACTTAATTATGAAAGATATAAAATTAAGGAGATTTGATTTTGCTTAATTTTTGAATTGTGTATTTGATTTTGTTTGATTTTTAAATTTTGAATTGTGTTTGGAAATAGATTTGAGTATTTTAGTCTTTATACAAACACATGTCCTTAAAAGCCCAAAATCTATCTCCTTGAATTTTTCATCTTAAAACTTCATGATACTGTACTGGCTTCTAAAAACCAAAAAAAAATTGTACAAATAAGGAGAATTTGGAAATTAGTACAAAAATTTATACTTAATTGAGTTAAATTATACTAGAAAAACTTATTTAGTCATAAGTACATATTTTTCAAAAAAATTAAAAAGTCATTTATTACTCTATTGCTTTCTCTCTGTCATTCCCTTCCCATTACCCTCTCACTTTATTTTCCTTATTTGCTCTCTTTCTCACATTGATAATTTTTTTTTCAAACATGTAAAGGTTTGACTTAATTTTTTCATCTTTCTCCCCTATTTTTTTCTCTCTTTCTCCCTCTATTTTCTCTCACTGTTATTCTTTATTTCCTTATTCTATCTCTCTCTGTTTCTCTCTACATATATTAGGGTTACAACAACACAATTATATCAATCAATTACACCAATTAGTTACAATTGTTCTATAATACATCAAACAGTTACTCATGTATTCTAATAAACCAAAAAATTATATTAAAAAATTACAACACCAACCTAATTTATCATTCAATTATTTACATAAACCAAATAGTTACACTATTTAGTATCATGATATGATTAATTGGTATAACTATGTCATGATACTAAATGATACAACTCTTAATATAATAAAATAGGGGAGAGAAAGTGAAAGAGTAATGGAGAGAGGGAGAGAGAATATTGGTGTGAGATATTAGAGGAGAGAGAGAGTGAAAAAATAAAGATTATGCATAATTTAAGGAAGAGTAAGTAAATAAAAAAAATAAAATGTCATTTAAATTTTGTATCTAATTACAAGATATTTTATTAAAATTAAATTTAATATAAAAAAATATTTATCCATACATTTCCTCTCAAATAAGTCTAAAAAAATATACCCACACCAAGACCACCCTACATATAATTTGTGTTATCGGGCTCCACCGGACTGGATTGGGCGAAGTTTTAGAGGCCCCTGGCCAGATAAATGGAGGCTCAGCTCAGCTCTCTCTTTTCTTTTCTAGGGTTTTAGCAAGATTCTGCAAGTCGTTCGATAACTTTCCCTGCTAATCTTTTCTCTGGTAAATTCCTCAATTCCAATTCTGATTTTTACGTCGATCCTCTTGAATTTGTTTATGCGAGTATTTTTATGTTTCTTCTCAATTTATCTCAGGTGTAGCTCTCGATGTCGCGAGTGTATGTTGGGAATTTGGATCCGCGAGTGTCGGAGAGGGAGCTCGAGGACGAGTTTCGGATTTATGGAGTTCTGCGAAGGTAAATTTAGTGTCTTTTTGGTGCTTTTTTTTTTTTTTTTTTTTTTTTTTTATCAGTGTCTATTTGGTTCATAACTTTTAAAATTAGTATCTTTGTGGTTTAATTTATTGTTTATTACTCGTAAATTTATTGTCTCTTTGGTTCATCATGGTAAATCTAGTATGTTTTTGGTTGCTCACTGGTAAATTTAGTAAATTTATGCTTCGGCACTGGTAAATTTAGTATATTTTTGGTTCATCACTGGTAAATTTGTTATCTTTTTGGTTAATCATAGTTAAGTTTCGTGTATTATTAGTCTGTGTGTATGATTTGATCAAACGTGTTTTTTAATCACTATCTTCTTACACAGTTTTAATCTTTCCCTCATGGTTCTTTTTCCTTTTGACTTTACGTTTTTTTTTTAATTCGGAGCCTTTCTAAATATTATTGTATCTCTTATTCGTTAATCAAACCGATGTAGTGTTTGGGTTGCTCGAAGGCCTCCTGGATATGCATTTGTTGAGTTTGATGATCACAGGGATGCTCTGGATGCGATTCATGCATTGGATGGTAAGTGCTGAGTGTAGCAAAATGAAACCTATCTGTTTGTGCTCTCATTTCAACTACTTTTACCTGTTTGTTTTGTTTTGTTTTGATGGATAAATATTTTCCATTTATAACGTGATTTAATTGTTATGGTATTGTGTTGCTTGTGTCTCCCACTTAGTTCTTTCCGTTTAGCACTTTTATCTGTTTTGAAAAAGCATTACGATCCATGTGTCAGTGAGACCAATCCTTGAAAGCTAAGAGGCAATTGATGAAATAGTTTGTTCCTCAAAATTTCTGAGATGTGTACGGTGTTTCCTAGGACAAATCCATTGTTATTCTAAGAAAATTCCAAGCAGGCATCTAAATGTTACATTGTGTTTGGCATGTCCTGTCCATATGATCATCGTAGGCCCATTACTAACAATGTTGTGTTTGTCATGGACCTCCATTTAACAAATATTATTTTGATTGCTTATTGGGATAAATCGATCGTCCCATTTACGTTTAGTTGAGCACTGTGTTTGGTATGGGTGTAGGCATGTAGCTCCGTATAAGGAGTGTTGATGGCTTCTTGTGTTGCTGCCCCTCTTCTCAATATTTCTCCCTTTGTAACTATCTCCAGTTTGTCCTAAACTTATCTCAATGTTTCTGTCTTCGTAATCATCTCTAATTTGTTATGCCACAATAAGCTGCTGCATGCATGTGGGATGCTTGAGCGCATCCTTCTCATATCGATCAAGGCAAAACTTGAGTTTTCAATAACGGGTGCTAATGCCCTATCTATATTCTATAGTAAGGGACCTTTTCAATAAGGCTTGTGCTAAACTCTCACGCTTTTTGGCTTCCTTGAAATTGATAATTTTGAAGTAGGTATAACTAGGCCTGTTTGATGAGTCACAACTGGTTCACCGTGTTAATAATCAATCACCATTCAATTTATCTCTTATGGCAAATTGTCATGGATAACTGTAGTGTAGCTATAAGTTCTATGAATCTTGCATTTTGTTTTTTTTTATCATGCAGGTTGCGTCCAACACTCTGGCTGACAAAAATCTTGTAGATCATATATTAATGATGAAGAATATATCAGTAATTCTGTCTCTCTTTTGAACCTTTTGGGTTTTCATTTTGATGAATTTGTATTAACAGGGAAGAATGGCTGGCGTGTGGAGCTGTCTCACAATTCCAAGGGAGTTGGTGGCAGCCGTGGAGGTGGGCGTGGTGGAGGCGAGGACTTGAAGTGTTATGAGTGTGGTGAACCTGGTCATTTTGCTCGAGAATGTCGCTTGCGCATAGGTCCACGAGGCTTAGGAAGTGGACGTCGCCGAAGCCCCAGTCCTCGTCGCCGCCGTAGTCCAAGTTATGGGCGTAGGTGCGTTTGATGAGTTTCACTTCAAAATTTTCAAGATCTTGGAATTGCATATTTGAATGTTTCTTCACACAAACTAACATAGAGTCATAGACACCTTCCAGCCTTCTTTGACTTGCCTTTGTGAAACTATTAACATGTTCTATTTTTGTGCAATCTGAAGCCTAACAATCTGATTGTTACTTTTGTTGTGAGTGGGAAAAGACTTAGGTTAGCCACTTTGCATATGGTTCCCAATTGACTACTATCTATGCACTGACATCCATCTTATAAGAAAAGTTAACTATGTCTCGTTAAACTTGGTATGCATTATTTAATGAAAACTGCCAAGTGGCAGTTGATATGGGTTGCTCAGTTTCAAGGCCCATGTTCGACTGAGATTGCATGGCACATGACATTATCATAGTTCAAGTTATCAGCCCTCTTTACCCATGCGCACATTAGTTAATCATAATCTTGGGATATTGTATGTCTTTTTAGTTTCCATGGCGAGGATGTACTCCTTTATCCAGACTCTTAATTAAAATGTTGATAGTCAACTTACTGAGACCTGCCACCAAACAATTCAACAGTGCTACAGCCAGCCAAAAAAGGTTAGAAAAAGAAGAAGAGACGTCGGGGAAGTTTTTTTGTCTAATTCCTAAGTAACTTGTAGTTGCACTTGATTTATTTGTTTCCATTTATGCAATTGTCAAGAAGTATGATATGCATATAAATGAATAGTTGAATTAATCTGATCGAAATCCCTCAGGTTAGTGAGAACTCACTCAGTCACCTACTCCTTATCTATCTAATAGTTTCTTCTATCTACTGAATTCAAAAGGCGACCCGCCGCGTTGGGCTATAAGATAAGATTAAAATTAAAATTAAAGAGCTTCCATTTGAAGTTAAAATTATTCTACCTCTCGCATTTTGATCAATAATGTGTCAATTCACTCTTTGTCACTGGTTTAATACTAGGTCTTTTATAAAACATGTAAACGGTTTTGCTCGTAATTTATCTCCTATTAGTTTCACTTCTACAGTTTTACAAATATATTCATTTCTATTCTATCTTTATGGTCTCGCAATACATCAATCGTAACGTCTGTATTTTGGTATCACTTAGATTCTGACATGTACTTGAATGCATGCTATATAATGTCACCGTTGAGTAATGAGAAAGACAGTTTTGGACATGAATATCAGATTTACATGAGTGGTTACAATATCATTTACGTAAATTTAAGTGGGAAAGAAATGTGATTGTTGCCTGTAGTTCTGGTTATTGTCCGTTATGATTTAAGTTCTTTTTAAGCTCAAAAAAAAAAAAGTTATGATTCGAGTTTCAAATTTTCATAATATTTGCATGATGCTGCAGGAGTCTCAGCCCTCAATATAGCCCTCGTGGGAGAAGATCTCCTCGGCGCCGCAGCATAACACCTCGACGTGGTCGTAGCTACAGCAGGTCTCCTCCATATCACCGTGCTCATCGCTATTCACCTTACGCTAATGGGTATGCACAAAAGCAGAATTTTTCTCTCCTGCCTGTACTAGTAGTTTTCATCTTGGTCATCATAGTAGTCGTTCTCACGTGTGCAGCAGGCCACCAGCACATCATTGTAAACATTATGATTCACTTTATTCTAATGGGCTGAGAAGCAGGGACACGGGCACGACATGACGTGGACACCACATTTTTCAGAAAAGTAGTACGTGAACATGTTGGGGACACTGTAAATTAATGTGTTTTATATATAAAATCATATAATATATCACTAATATTCACAGAAAATCCATTACTTCATGATAAATAAATGTTATGACTGGTCATCTAGTGTAAATTTTTAGATTAACATCATAATAGTCAATAATTATCAATTTTTTCGTAGACGTGTACTAAATATATATAATTTAATGATTGTTTTTATTTTTTCAATTGCTCTTTTCTAAATCTTTAATTATCTTTTATTTTTGTTATTATATTTTGTGTTATTATATTTTGTGGATAACTTTAACATGTCTAGTCTTTGTAATTATATGTTATTCATAGTCTAAGATATTTAGCAGTCAAATTTTTAGGTTTTGTTAATTATATGGCTACACGTGTTTATTATTTAGTAGTAGACCCGGTCTGAAAAAGAGTCAGGCACGTCACTAAAAAAGCGTTACATACTGAAATTGGAATTTTATCACTTAATTATGGACAAAAAAAAAAAAGAGTATCGGACACGTGTCCAGAGAGGGTCGGTGTCCGACATGGATATGCCACCTTAGTGTCCGTGCTTCATTGCTGATGGGTATGCCATAGTTCCTGGGCACAGAAACTTCTCGCAGTTCCCTGAAATAGTCACTGTTTTTAGTGTTTACTGTCTTGGGTATGGTTACCAATGCCCACCCTACTAAGTCATACTGTAAACTGCCATTGGTGGTTCTTCTTACATTGAAGACAAGTACATGTTGAAGACATGTATCCCCACACGGTTGGACATAGGCCCTCCTTTCTTTTCTTGTTTCTTTGGCAGTTGACGCAGTGGTATGGTTGTTCTATTGTGACCGAGGCGTTAAGGGTTCGAGCTACGAAATCAGCCTCTTTGTATGAGGGGGTAGGGTTGCGTACATCTTTTTAAATAGAGCAACCTTACCACTGCAGCACTGCGCAAGTCATCTCTGGTGGGAGACTCTTGCAATAGATCATCCTTTTAAATGCACTGAGAGGCACACCCATTACTTTCATGTGAAGTTTGACATTCCTACACTTTCTTCTCCTTTTTCAATAATTATATTTTGTCCCTAAATAGAAAATCAAAATTTATGATAATTATAGTTTAGTCCCCACTAATTTATTCAGTGATGCATATTATTATTTTCTGAGACTTACAATGTGCAGTTAGTTTGGGATGGTAAAATAAAACTCTAGAGAATGCCTAAGATAACATGGTTCAAGGTATCGGCCGAGTCGTATCCGACTCGGCCCCCTCTAATACGATAACGGTATACATTACGCAAAAATCACGAGTCTCACCTGAATCGATCGTGATTCGGTTACAACTCGGTGGAATCAGCTTGACTCGGAGTAATATCAGTGTGACTCGGAATAATATCGGCGTAACCCGGCCAAGTCATACCAGACTCAGACATATATGATAAAATTCTTCCAAAATTAAAAGACAAAAATGCAAAAAAAAGACAAAGTAGAGAAGAAAGAGGGATAAGAAATCAAACAAAAAATGGGACTCAGATTTACAGAAGGCATACCTTAAAATTGAAGGCATAACTGTCTTTCTTCTAATTTTTTCATTCGCACAACAAGCTTTGTTCTTCCCTTTCTTCTTCTTTGCAGCAAAGACTCAACATCACGATCAAAAATCAATTGCAAAAACGCTAGGTTGCTCGACCAACATCATCAATCGCGATCACAGTCGAAGTCTCGAACAGCCCTGACTCCCTCTGTTTCTCTCTCTTCATCTCTGCAGTCGAAGTCCTGATCGCGATCGCTCGCTCGCCTTTCGTCTGCTACCAGAGAGTTTCACCTCTCTCTCTCTCTCTCTCTCTCTCGTCTGAGAGTATCAAACCAACAAAGCCAAGCCCAGTGTCACCCAATTCATTAAACACTATTTGACTGTGATTAATTTGTTAACTTAAATATGATTAATTTAATTTACTTATTGTGAGTAATTTATTAAAGTGTGGGTAATTTATTTTACTTAGAATGGTTAATTTATTAACATAGTGTGGTTAATTTATTTTATTTGTGGCTAATTAGTTTTTGGGTTCACTTTTTGCCCAAGTTTAATTAGATTAAATTTACTATTTAATAAATCATTAAAATATTTAATGTAATAGTTAGATATTTAGATTATTTATTTTTTAAATAAATATTTGAAGTATTCTATTTTAAATCAAATGTTAAATTATTAATCTTATGGTGGAAATTATCCTAATTTGTATTATCCTAGAGACAATAATAATGATGATATTTATTTTACTTAGAATAGTTAATTTATTAACATAGTGTGGTTAATTTATTTTATTTGTGGCTAATTAGTTTTTGGGTTCACTTTTTGCCAAAGTTTAATTAGATTAAATTTATTATTTAATAAATCATTATAATATTTAATGTAATAGTTAGATATTTAGATTATATATTTTTTAAATAAATATTTGAAGTATTCTATTTTAAATCAAATGTTAAATTATTAATCTTATGGTGGAAATTATCCTAATTTGTATTATCCTAGAGACAATAATAATGATGATATTTATTTTACTTAGAATGGTTAATTTATTAACATAGTGTGGTTAATTTATTTTATTTGTGGCTAATTAGTTTTTGGGTTCACTTTTTGCCCAAGTTTAATTAGATTAAATTTACTATTTAATAAATCATTAAAATATTTAATGTAATAGTTAGATATTTAGATTATTTATTTTTTAAATAAATATTTGAAGTATTCTATTTTAAATCAAATGCTAAATTATTAATCTTATGGTAGAAATTATCCTAATTTGTATTAGAGACAATAAAAATGATGATATTTCTTAAGTGCTTGCCTTAAACATTCATAATAATAATTATTTTCGGTAGCGTTTTTATATTTCATTTTTATTATTTTTAATTTGTTTTTGGATATATTGTAGACATATAATGCATGAATGATGATGCTTATATTTTTTAGAATTTATCATAATTTTTTAAAATTTTTTTGGAGCTTCTATCTAGNTCATTTTTATTATTTTTAATTTGTTTTTGGATATATTGTAGACATATAATGCATGAATGATGATGCTTATATTTTTTAGAATTTATCATAATTTTTTAAAATTTTTTTGGAACTTCTATCTAGCATTTTGAGCGTATCGGCCAATACCGTACCGCGACGCCGCGACCGATGTGTATCAGTGTCCTCCGAGTTGATGACCGATACCGCGACTTTGAACCATGTAAGATAATGATCGCTAGGATTAACATCCTCCATCCAAGCATATGTTAAACTGGCCCTTTATAATGAATGGTTTCAATAGTCAAGCACATGGTAAATGGGCTGTGCCAGACAGGTTCCTCTCTCTCTCTCTCTCTTTCTCCACAAACATACACAGTGCACATGGGCACACATTTCTGAGTGCATGCCATCTTATATGAGTGTGTGTTAGCAGAGATTAAAGCTGGAGCAGGAATGGATGCAAAATGACAGATGACGGCAAAGGATGAGATCTCTGCAACTCTCTTGTTCTTATAGGTTTTGTGAACAAAGTATGGTTATTCTAGTTAAGAAGTAGTGCGTATTGGACCTGGCTTTGGATGAATGCACTATGTAGGCGTGAAAAAGGTGCTCGGTCCACTTTCTGGTTCCGGCCAGCTCCATTCAGCTTACTGAAACCTGAAGGTCTCTTTCATACTTTAAATTGTTCCCTATTGCTATTGTTATACTTGTGTTAATTGTCGTAGTATTACTCTATTTAAATTAGATGTTTCTAAAGAAGTTCTATTTTTCCTGTTTTGAAGTGTGTTTGTCGGCTGAAACGGCATCGTTTCGCCGCTTACTGCATCTTAGTCTTTGCGGTGTACCTCCATCTCCGCATACGGCAACATGATCTACTTGTCACTGGCCCTGTCCTTCTTAACGAGTTTGACTCACAATTGAAACTGCAAATCTTTGGAAACTTGGTTGTCTGCTGCAGTTTTAAATGCTATCTTCTGCAACAAAGCTTCTGGTGTTATAGTTTAAGACTTCTACTTTTCTGCCAGCCGGTGGAAGAAGATGGAAGCCTTTATTGCCCTTTGTGTTGATGTTTTCCAAGCTGCAGTAATGGATTGTATCGTAGTAACCATGTGGTGTTTTGCTGCATTGAGCGAAACACTGGCTACTAATCTATGCCTCATGCGTGATATAATGCAAATGTATCACCAAATTCGAGAGTAGAGCTTCAGTGACCCCTATTGAGCGTTTGCCTCTGCAGAATGAACCACACCTTTTCTGTGTCGTTATGCCTTGGACCTCTGACTGTAGATTGGTAGGCTAATGGAACCAAGTCCTGAACCGTGATGCTCATTTACGCATCCTCCATTGGAAGTGAGGAAATAACTATACGCCATTGTGCTTGCCGTTCTGCCGGTGCTTTAAACTGTGGAGTTCCTTTTTAAGTTATTTCTGCTTGCATCTGATCCGGCAGTATGTGAATAACCATGGGTTAAACCCAACTTGTAAATCGAACTATGGTTTTAAGTTTTCCTTTCATTTCCTACCAACGCATAGTTATGGTTCTCACGTTTGATGAAATGATACGAAAATTGTAACCCTCATAGCTCCGTCGATGGAAAATTTATATGACTGGTGGGTAGGGAAATTGTGACCCTCACTGTAAAAACATATGACAATGGTAGTGAATGCCCCAACCCCCATGGTCATTTAGTCACTGTTCAGAATGTTACAATCCACATCTCGTGAGGCTACGTTATTCTGTTTCTAATTTCTTCTTCAATACCTACCCTTCTAGGTAAAGAGATTTACATTTTACTGATTTGAATCAGCTTCTTGTGGGCTTGTTCCACCAATCAGGTGGTTCGTAGCGGCAGTACTGTACTTAACGTGATCTCATTGAACTCAGAAGCACAATGAGAAGAGAGACCAATGAGACTCAAGTAGATGGTCTTTGAACCCATCAGGAAAGCAACGCGGAAGGATCCTTTTATCACTTAGGGGATGTTTGGTAAGGGGGTATGGGGGCTTGGTAAGATGGGTTTGGGAAAAATGGTCCAAAGGACCTCTAAATCTTATGTTTGAATTAAAAATTTAATCTTAGGTTCTCAAATTCGGGCCGTAGTTAGCTTGAATATTAAACACATGACCATGAGTTTGTCAAACTGAAGAAGGAGATGGGTTTAAGAATATGAGTTAAGGGAATAAAGATGTAAAATATAATTGTACCCTTAAACATGAGTAAGAATTGGATTGATCAATGGTAAATTAGTTATTTATAGGACAAATAGTTATTAATAATTATGATATATACATGAATCTTACATGTATATGTGTGTTGCATACTAAATATGGGTATAGATCGAATTCAATGTTGAATATCATCTTTGTAAAGAGAGGATTGAATTTGAAAGAAATTGAAAAAATCAATCTAAACCTTCCTAAAAAACCTATCCAAACAAACTCTTATGGCTACCTTTTCTTTTTGTCATTTCAGCATATACTTTCGCTGGCTTGCTGGGTTTTATGTCCCATCCTTCAATTACACTTTTAAGTAAAAACCTGGAGAGGAATAGCGTGTGGACGATATGTATTGTGCCATCAACTTTGGAGGGAAGTCATGAGTTCATATGGCCTGGAGTTGACTTTTTTAGGTAAAAAATTGTGATTTAAAAAGATTAATAAAAAAAGTGAGAGTTAATTTTTTTTTTAAAACTGTTTGGGTGCGTTCTTTGAAAAAGTCCGCTTAAAGTAAGTTTTTAATTTCTTTATGTCAAAATAAAAAAATAATTACATGTATAGAATAGACTTTGCATAATAGTTTTCAAAATATAAATTTTAAATGTTTTTACATTAATAATAATATTTTATGAATATAATAAATTAAAAAGTTATGTGGGACTTGTAACAAATTTCAAAAAGTCAGAAAAAAAAAATTCATAAAATCAGTTTCTTAAATGAACCTAAATAGATTTGTTTGAGTCCAAAAAATTGTTGTATAAGCTTGTAAAAAAATCGAGGTTCAAACGGACCTAACCTATTTTACTCTCGAAACTTTAAAAATTATCTATTTAAACTAACTCTAAATAAATACATAGTTTCATCATATGTGGAGATAACATATATACATATGTTGCAAAAGACAGTATACACATTTTGCAAGGTGATAATGGTGACACTTTTGTACACTCTGCAGCAATTTAAAAATAGGGAACCATGCATTCTTTTCTTTTTTTTTTGGATAAAAATAGGGAACCACGCATTCAGTGAGTCAAATATAACCCAATAGTTTTGAAGTTGCAGGTTCAAATCTAATAATGGGAACTAAAGTATGTTTTTATATCTTTTTTCTCAGCTTATTTCAGCAAGTTAGTGAATTGCATTGCTTTCAAATGCTTGTTTTCTTGGTTTGGAGATTTTGTTAGGTTGGCATGCTTCCATGTACTATAAGAGGAGGCCTGAGGTTTTTGCACAGGTTAGTTTGTTCTGTCGAAAATAAGATCAGTGGGTATTCTGTAATAGTCCGTTTGTTAGAGTAGATAAAAAAATAGAAAGATAAAAAATGAGAGTAATACACTTTCCATTCTTTAAGAAATGAATTGTTTCTTCCTTCTTTTGTATTTGGTAAGAGCGATGAAACGTAGGGAGGATTGATTTTTTTTTTTGATGGGTATTGAAATTAATGTATACATAATATTTTATCAATATTTTTTTTTTTTTTTTTTGTGTTTTGGAAAGATTAATTTTGTTGAGCTGGAAAATAAACTACTTTTCCATCATTCATATTTTCTTTCTTTACCAAATAGTATATTTTATCTATCCACCAAACTTTTCATCTTTCTATTTTTCCTTTGTACCAAACAAAGCATAAGAATAGCTTCTGCGACCGTAAAACCCGAATTTTAGAGAAGAAAGTTGATTGGAAACCTGGTAGAGAAGATCAAGGGAAAGGAAATTACGCAAGAGGATTACGAGGAAAACATCATTAGAAGCTGAAGCAGTCTTCTGCTTTTTAAGATCAGTTTTCTGTTATCAAACAGTACCCAAATTCAGTTAAGAAAGGATTCCTCAATTACTTCAGGGGCTTTCAAAAGACTGGTAGAAATAATGAGCATGAGCAATCCCCTACTCATGTAAGAGAGATTCGATAACCGTAATGTATATAAAACTGCTGGGTTCAATGAAGCAACTCTCTAACTGACTAGACGCTGAATTAGGGAGATAACAACTCGTGGGACTACCAATCATAATGAGACATTTATATCTAAACTCGGTTATTAATCATACAACTCTTCTCAGTGTATCAGAATGCTTACTCAGAGCATCAACTCAAGCTCGAACTTAATCAATGGTCAATTGCTACATGGACCACATATCATCGAGGATGAAAGATAGGAAATGTGCAACACCTCGATCCTGTTCCTTAAATTCTTGAAAAACTTCTCATTTCATTTTGGAGTCAATCACCTTCTTTGCAAAAGATGGCAGACAGAAAGCAGCAGCATGAATCTGGGTATGAAAGAGAAGAAGAGTTTTATTTATTTTGAAAAAAATAAATAAATAAAAACAAAGCCTGTCGAAGACACTGTAGTGGAAGCAGCAGAATCATATACCTCAGAGTTGTAGAATTTCAAAGGTCCTATTGATTTGCAATGGCTGTCATCAGCATCTATAGGGTTGACTGGATGCTTGAAATTCACCGCGGGCCCCTCAGTAGAACAAAGCATGAAACCAATTACCCCACTGAAATGAAAGTGAACGTTAATTAGCACGAATACCAAAAAGAAAAATTAAAAAAAAAAAAAAACATTCACGTCAACAAATTGCTATTGTCAATGACACAATTCACACAACATGGTATAGACCTTCAGCTAGTCTTCATTTTTAAAGTAAGACATCAAACTGAGACTCTGCTACTCTTTGAGGGGCAGTATAGAAGAAGAAGTTCGTAAAATGGGGTGGTAGACTGAGTGAACCCACTTTCTGAAACTACCTGAGCCTCTCTATTGACTTTTCCAACACACACACAGAGGAAGGGAGAGAGATCAAAGTGCATGCCTTGGGTATGTAGGGACTGTGGTCCATGCATAGTTGACAGAGCCTTTGAAAATCTGGCGGCAGTTAGCAACAATGTCTTCAATAATGTGCATGTGAAGCCATATGCTTTCAGCCTGGGTACATACAACCCCACCAGGACGAAGAGCCTTTGCCACTGATGCAAAGAAAGGCTTCTCAAAAAGCTCTTGTGCGGGACCTGAGTATCATAAAACACAGTACTCGAGTAATAAAGATATGGAAGTTTCCAATGGAGATAATATCGAAGCAAAGTTGCAAAGGTATAGGTACCTATTGGGTCAGAAGAATCTACTATAATTGCATCATAAGTTCCTTCGGCCACAGCCTTCAAAAATGCAACTCCTGCCAGGTTGAGCCGAAGCCGACAAAGATATAAATTTTGAAAGAAAAATGAAGAAATAGAATAAGAGGAGGCAAAACATAAGGAAAATGCTGATAATACCATCGCCAAGGTGGAGTGTTACACGGGGATCCATGTATCCAACAGCTATGTCAGGGAAATATTGTTTAGAAACCTGGCAGGGGATAAAAAACCTGTTCAAACGCAATGGTTCAAAAGCTCCAAAGATATATCACTGGAAGCCAGAGTCCTTAAAAAGTATCCACATAGGAGATGTACAGTGGCCACTTGCATGAAAGAATAGGCATCCATTGCTAGATTTAAATACAAAAAGAAACTATTGTTTGCTAACAATACCAAATGTAAAAAACAAAAAAAATGGATCATTATCACTCACATCAACCACCATCTTATCGATCTCACANCACACAACATGGTATAGACCTTCAGCTAGTCTTCATTTTTAAAGTAAGACATCAAACTGAGACTCTGCTACTCTTTGAGGGGCAGTATAGAAGAAGAAGTTCGTAAAATGGGGTGGTAGACTGAGTGAACCCACTTTCTGAAACTACCTGAGCCTCTCTATTGACTTTTCCAACACACACACAGAGGAAGGGAGAGAGATCAAAGTGCATGCCTTGGGTATGTAGGGACTGTGGTCCATGCATAGTTGACAGAGCCTTTGAAAATCTGGCGGCAGTTAGCAACAATGTCTTCAATAATGTGCATGTGAAGCCATATGCTTTCAGCCTGGGTACATACAACCCCACCAGGACGAAGAGCCTTTGCCACTGATGCAAAGAAAGGCTTCTCAAAAAGCTCTTGTGCGGGACCTGAGTATCATAAAACACAGTACTCGAGTAATAAAGATATGGAAGTTTCCAATGGAGATAATATCGAAGCAAAGTTGCAAAGGTATAGGTACCTATTGGGTCAGAAGAATCTACTATAATTGCATCATAAGTTCCTTCGGCCACAGCCTTCAAAAATGCAACTCCTGCCAGGTTGAGCCGAAGCCGACAAAGATATAAATTTTGAAAGAAAAATGAAGAAATAGAATAAGAGGAGGCAAAACATAAGGAAAATGCTGATAATACCATCGCCAAGGTGGAGTGTTACACGGGGATCCATGTATCCAACAGCTATGTCAGGGAAATATTGTTTAGAAACCTGGCAGGGGATAAAAAACCTGTTCAAACGCAATGGTTCAAAAGCTCCAAAGATATATCACTGGAAGCCAGAGTCCTTAAAAAGTATCCACATAGGAGATGTACAGTGGCCACTTGCATGAAAGAATAGGCATCCATTGCTAGATTTAAATACAAAAAGAAACTATTGTTTGCTAACAATACCAAATGTAAAAAACAAAAAAAATGGATCATTATCACTCACATCAACCACCATCTTATCGATCTCACATATATCTATCTGCTCAACAGAAGAATGGCGAGACACCTCACGTAAGACGCCACCATCTCCTCCCCCAATAACCAAAACCTGAAAATAAATTTAAGATATACAAATGAAAAGGTAAAATTGCAGATCGCATATAATGCGTACATTGTTATTCATGAAGAATTGACATAAATCGAGCAACTGCCACAACCTGTGTTTGTATTGTGTGCATATGTTTTGTGGGCGGTGCTGAATCAGAACTGCAAGCATGACTTTACATCATTTTTTAGATTCTTTATATGCCCCATACCCACACACTTAAGGAGTCATAAAGGCCAGAATAATTGATTTTGGAAACTCAATGAATTTATGCTTTAAGAAGCCCATTATTCTCTCCCAGTTTACAGTTTTTCTATCTTTTTCACATTGCATACACACAGCATACATGGGTAATGACATCCATCCATGGGGCTCCCAAGTCTTAACGGCAGCCCTCTGCACAATGTTCTCCCAACACTTTTATATACAAATGCAAATTTACCTTACAAGGGAAAGAGATTAGGCTAAGTGGAATAAGACCATCAAACATATGATCACATTAGGGTCACGGCAGAACCAAGAGAATCACAGGTTATCAACGAAGATACATGCATCGTGAACGTCATTTACATTTCAAAATATACCCGCACCAATTCTTTTTTTTCTTCTCTTTTTTTGATAAGAACCAAACATTTTATTAATAATCATAATCATAACGAAGTATTAGAAACATGAAATTGGACAAGAAGCCCAACCCAAAACAAACAAACAAGCTTGTGGCGATAAATGGACCATATTATTATCAATAAGCTCCAAGTCCACCATTCAAATCCCTACATGGATTAGCTTTTCTGAACTTACTTAATAGAGGTTTCATAATAGTTTTGAAGTGATAAAATCACGATAAATCGACACAATTTTTCTATGCCTATGAATTAGTACTTGGTCTTATAATTCATTAGAGGGTGAAAATACCTTCTTTGGGTTTGGAATGGAGGAAAGTGGCAGATGAGTAATCATTTCTTGATAAGCACATTCATCCCTTTCTGTGAGTTGAATTACCCCATCCAAAACAAGAACCTTCCCGTAAGTTGAAGACTGCAGCAAAAGAAACCACCAATACATATTCAGCAACATTCAAAAACAGACATAGTAATTTAAAAGTGAGTTCCATGGAGTATAAAATACCTGAAAGACCATAACATTCTGGTAGTCAGACTTCCCCTGAAATAAGATCTTTTCGACCTTTAACGAGTGTGCTTCTCCTATAGCGTTCCAATAATTCTCTCATTAAAGATGAATTATACACAAAATATATAAATCACAAAGACAGAAAAACTTGAATTATAAAGCACCGGATCACAACTGAAAAAAGAAGAATATTGAATTGTCTGGTTAAGGACACTTGCTCATGGTATTCACCAGAGCTTTTCCTCTTTCAAAATAATTGGTTCAGAATCAGATTGACTGACGGCAGGTAAAATAAAGTGACTATCTGACAAAAATGAGCAGATATCCAGCACCAACAAATTAATTTTAACCGATGTAAACACTTCCTCCGTCAACCCTTCAAAGTCTGTCACAAGAAAGAAGGAAAAAGAATTGAGGATCTGTCTCGTCACCAAATAAAGAAAAAGTACAGCACCTATAAGTCTGATTTTTCAATAGTTATCACTTAACAGTTGGACTGGAGAGACAATACAAGAAGGACAATAATCATAAAGCAACAATGTATAGTCAACCAAAATGCATCTGGAGAAAGAACTCTGGGGTAGCAACAAGCAACCGACAAAATCACACAAGCTTCATATATGTTTCAGCATCACATCTACAATAGAATGCACCTTTCTCAATTGCTTTTAAAACAGTACCTGATTTATATAGAACTGTAAAGCCACTACCAATAAGACAGGCAATGTGATTTTCATAGTAAGTCTATTTCGTTCAGCAAGTATGATTACCGACCACTCATATTACGAATGTGCACCAAAAAGCAATGTTTATTGAAAATGAAATTATGCACAACTCTCAGAATGGATCTTAAGAACACAAGATATTGAAATGTCAATCAGCAACGAATAAAATGTAGTGACAAAAACCAATCTAGACACACGTATGTGTGCCATGTTTTGTTTTGGACAAGCTAGCACTCCTGTTTGTTTGCCAAAAAAATAGACACCCTATTAATCAATATTATGCGCAGTTGAATGGAGTTCTTTTTTCTTTCTTTTTAGGCATATAACATATAGCAGACATTCTGAGCTTGCAATCTATCTTTTCCCCACGTTTTCCCAGAAACAAAAACTAAAGAACCACTTAAAGATAGTCCTGAAATCCCTACATACAGAAAAAACAATGGCGGTACTGAAACAGGAGAAACTTAAGATGCAGCATAACATGTAAACATGCATGAAAAAACCTTCATTCGAAGTGCAGGAAAACGAAAACAAAAAAGAGCACATGAGGTAAATAATGACCCCAAACAACCAAGCCTTATATACTTGTTACAATTATAATTTAAAACCTTCATTCGAAGTGGGGGAAAACGAAACCAAAAAAGTGCACGAGGTAAATAATGATCCCAAACAACCAAGCTTTATATACTTATTACAATTATAATTATAATATCTATACTATTAATTAAGGGGAAGTGGGATTTGGTGTCCGCACGTAAAATGACTATAATACTCAATAGATTGTTTATAATAACCACCCATCTATAATTTCTTGAGTAATGATATTTAACTATCAAGATTTATCTATTCCAATTTCTTTCCACTTTTATATCTTGATCTTTCACCCTATCTGCACATGAAGGGAGAGGATCCACCTAGAAAGTAACTCTTCTATCCTTTTAATCATACATAACTTTTTAACTGCATGATTAATTGTATAACTTTTTAACTGCATGATTAATTACATTTAACTACCCATAAATTCTAATCTCTTTTAAATCTTTGTCCTTGTTTATTTGCACACATGACCCCTAGTGTACTATAACAGATTTTACTGAAAACTCAACTGGGCATATAGAATTGTAATAAGATATCAGAAAATCAACAGAAACAACAACGCAAACCCAGAAAAGAATAAAGCACCAAAAAAAACAGAGATCTGTAAAAAAGAATCCTAAAACTCCACCATATATCTCCATATGAATGAACATACAAGTATATCTACAATAAATGAATATTATGAGGAGGAGAAACCTACCAGGCCACATTGGACTAATCTCAGAGAACCACCCAGGTATAACAGAAGAGATATACTCGGGATCTTTGTTGTTACAATCCTCCATTTCAACAGAAACAGAGGAAACTGAAACCCCGTTGTTCTCTTCCTCCTCTCTTGGCCTCTTCACCGACAAATCACAACCCACTGACGCCACACCACTCTGCTCCGCCATCAGCTAAATTCTCTCTCCCAACAACCCTCGAGACCCGCAAAAGCTAAAGAGTGTGGTTTTAGAGAAGTACTGAAACAGTTACCTCACAAATCTCAATCTGTTTAGTTTACAGATATACATCTATCTATATATATATAATATAAAACACAACAGAGTGAGAGGAAGACAGAGAGAGAAAATAGGCAAAAAAATTAGGGGAAACACTATCACAGACACACACGAATACAAAGAATCTGCTTATGAAAGACGCATGATGAGTCTGACAACAAAAGGATTACCTAATAGTACTATTTTTGATGATGTTTGTAATATGGTCGGCGGACAAAAAAGTACAACTCAGAATTGATTGGACTGTCAATTAGGGTTTTCTTTTCCTCCCCCTTTCCTCGGGTGTCCAACTACGATGGATACCGTATCTTATTTGTTTGGGTAAAAATAATAATTCATCGATGAACTTTGCCTTCAATTTAAAATTTATTTTTTTAATTCTTAATGTTATCTTAATTAAGCTATTTAATTAATTTTTATTATTAAATCAATTTAAAATGAATCAAATTAAGGTAATTTCCAGTTAATCTATCAAATTTATGGACTAATTATGATTTTTATCCTTTTTCTTCAAGCATATAATTAATTAAAATTTTAATTCATTTTTTTTACAATTAAGTGTTACAATTCATATAAAAAATTAATATTTAAAGTTAGTTTTTATATAATATCGAATAAATATTTTTTGATACCATAAACTTGATTTTTCCAGTAGTTTCTCAAATTTTGTCAGGGCACTTTTAGAATATGTGTCCGGTTAGGTGTCTTATGCTTTGGGCATACATGTGAGTGGGCACACATGTGAGTGGGCACTTTTTCCCACTTTTTATGTGTTCGTTGTTTTTTCATTGGGATGGTCAAAGAGCAATAGTTCATGGGCAATGTACCACTTTACAGCTTATGATAATTATAATATGATTAGTTTTGATCTACTTTGTTATTTGTACCAACTTCTTCTAATGTTTAGCCATAATCAAATTTTTGACTTTTCGAATATTCTGATTATATTCTACTCTATTGATCGATTATCACAAAAAAATTGAATAGACAAATGGAAAAAAATTTCACGTTTCGTATCGTAAAAAAATTAGGTAAGAATGCAGAATATACCCATACAAATTCCGTCTTTCTATTCAACCTTACCCATATATATATATGTGTGTGTGTGTGTACGTGTTAAGTTCTTAACATTTTAATATTGTTAATGTGTGTATAAACTACAAAACAAATATATCGTTAATGTGTTAAATTTTTAATATTATTGTGTCGAGTAACTGGTGTATGTTATTTAATTGAATTATTAAAATAATTCAAAAATTAATAACTAAAAAATATTGTGTTCACCCGGCTTCCTACTCGATTGTTTTGGACGAAAATTAGATAGGAATAATACATTTGATCAGATAGAATAGGTCAAAAAAACATCTCATTCACAAAGTATCAAATAAAAAAATAAAATCTTATAATTTTTACTTGTAGAGTAGGATGAACATCCCTAGTAATCCCTCACCTAAGCATCCCTCAGTTCAAATTTTCAAAATGGTATGGATTGTTTAATTGTTTTGCGACTTCTTTCGTCACACAATTCAAGAATTTAACATAATTTAACTCTTAAAAATCATCCTTTGATCAACTTTTTTGAAACAATATGGATTGTTTAATGGCATTGTTTGTCACATATATCAAGAATTTGACCGATACAATTTACACCTTGATCTCGTATCTTGAGACATCGTCCATTTTACTTGTTATTTTATTTACACAGCATATAATATTTTTTTAATTTTATTGACAGATACGCAGATAAACAAATACAATATATTTTTTGTGGGGCCGTGGAGTCACATTAGACTATCATTACGCATTAATGCAATATTATGAGACTTCTATCTTGATCGAGCCAACACTCTAGGAAATAAGAGGTATAACTAAGAGTACTCAAGGTGGTCGCTAAGTTAAGAGTCAAGGTATACATAGCCAAATCATAGATATTCAAACTCTGAAATTTGCACAGAAGAAAAGTTTAAAAATTCGTCAAGTCTATTTGTCACTTAAATGCCACTGCTTAAAACTTTGGGATGTCACCCTTGACAAACCTCTCTTCGGTGGAGAAGGTTTGGTAGATCCCCTGGCAGTGGAGTCACATTAGACTATCATTATGCATTAATGAAATATCATGAGATAAAGTTTTTTAAAGGTCTTTTAATTTTTAAGTAAAAAGGTATCCTTTTTTTGTGCTTTAACATTCTTCACAAAAGCCCATGAAAAAGGCCCAAAAGATAATGTACTGCTAAGAACCCATCCTTTTAAAGGGCAATGGGCCAAGAAAAACAAGAACGATATGGGTACGGTAAAAGTTTAGTGGGCCACAGGCCCATAAGTACGGATGAGCTTTTGCAGGTGTTCAAGCCCACCTAGTCCACAGTCTCGGAATCGGTTCATCAGCGTTTTTTCGGTGTGTTTGAACAGTGAGATAAGTTGGGTTAACGCTAATGAGGCCCGTACATTCATTATTTGCGAAGGCAAAACATGACACGGGATATAAATCTCGGGTCATTGTTCGACCCGACTGCTACAGTAGTGTTTATCCCTCCTGGGTTAAAATTAACCCTCCTCCCCCCGGGTTTAAATCCCAATGGATAGGATCTGAATAGGTAATGACATTTAACCCCTATCCCTTGTCGTCTAGCGTTCCACTTTTCTTCTCGTCACTCTCGTTTCAAGGCGTTGGGTTGATAGCTCTGTCAAGGCGACGAGGAAGACGAAGGAGAAGCTGCTGGGAGGTAAGCATCTGGGTCTCTCTCTCTCCCTCTTTCTCTATCTTTCTCCTTCTCTGGACCGAACGATGAAGAGATCTGGCTCACTGATGAGAGATGCAGACCAGCTTCACTGACTCGCTCTCTATCTCTCTCCTTGAGGTTTCTTAACCGATAGGCAAACAACACAAAACCCAAAATAGTCAATCCCCAACAATCTTTTGCTTGCTTAATTTCTAATCCTCTGACCTAACTTTTATCCTTCTTCTTCAATCTGCTGGAGCCCCGACAAATTGATCCCTGAAAAGGGTCTTTCGGAAATTGTCCGTGTTGTTATGGGTCACGAAGTGGTTGCTGTGGCTTCATCGCCTCCGCCGGCGATGTCGTTGGCACCTGGGTTTAGGTTTTGTCTCACGGATGAGGAGCTGGTGATGTACTATTTGAGGCGGAACTGCGGAAGGGTTGTGGGAAGCCGTTTCGGTCTTCTAAGTTCAATTTTGTGCTTCTGATATGATCAATTTTGTCTCCTTCTCGCTATGTATCTCTCTTTTATTTCTTTTTAGTGTCAGATCTCTATCTGCAGGTGTTCTTATTGTTTTGCTTAATATATGTAGTTTATTATGTATTTGTGAAAAATATTTCATTTTTGCTTTAGACTAAGCACCAATCCAAACAAACAATTGGATAGATCCAGGGGTAGAGTGGTAAAGTACTACAACTATTTGGTCTAATCCATACTTGCACATTTGTTTCTCAAACAAACAAGGGTTTGGATTGGATATGATCCATAAACCCTCCATTTTAAGTGGCCTGAGCGGGTTTGAATTGGATTGGATGGGTTAAGATATAGAAAAAGAAATCCTAACCTATCCAAACCCATTACCCAAACACATCCGTTGGGTAAAATCGATTCTCACACTCCTTCAAATTCACAAAATACTATACTCTCTCTCTTCTAGTAGATTTCTGCGTTAGGGTTTCGATTTATGTTTGTTTGGTAATTTTTGTATCTGTGCGTGTGAGCAGATTGGTACTGATTTCTCTGAGTTCCGGAGCTCGGTTCTGATATCGGTGCACCTTTTGAGAATAAGTCAGCAGAATGGTTTGTACACTCAATTGTTTATTTTTGGAGTCGGATGTTTAACAATACTATGTTTTCTACATATGCAAATATTTGCATAATGGATATACTAGCTTGCATAATTTTATATATTGATAATGGTTAAATTAGGTTGATGGAGTGAAGCTTTTTTGGATTGTTTAGGGTTTTTTTTTTTTTTTTGGTCAGGCGGATTGTTTAGGTTAGAAACTGGGAATACATATTCATCTTTACAATTACTTGTAAAAGTTTGTTATAATGGTGTTTTGGCATGTGGGTAGCTTGTAGTTTGGTTTTTGCCTTCACTTTTCACAAGTTTGATAAGCATCATCTGTGAAATTTTACTAGCTTGTGTAGGTTGTTAGTTTTAGGCATCAGGCATGTCATTGTTCGACAATTCAAGTGGTGGTGGGATATGTCCAAGGCATTAAAGAATTGGCTTTATAGTTTACCTACTTGCATAAATGATATTAACTCAATTGTATTGCCTAGAGGATTGAGAAAAACGTGGATGCTTTTCTTGCACAACCTTGAAAAATATTATTTTGTTAATTTGAAAATCGATTTGTCTTTTCTTTCTTGGGTTCTTATTATATTACTCTTATTTTGTCCATGAGACATTTTGTTTCGGTACTATTTAGTCTTAATTTCATGACATTCACATTTGATCACAGATTTCTATAGTTGCTGTTATGTTTCTCTGTTCTCAACGGGCTTATTCCTGCATATTGGCTTTCAAATAAAAAAGATTGTATCATGTTTGTTGCAGGCGACTCTTGCTGATTCTTTCTTGGCAGATCTCGATGAGTTGTCCGACAATGAAGCTGAACTTCTTGTGAGCACATTTGTTTTCTTTTATTTTTGTTTTTTATTGTGTCATTTTCATGTGTCCTTTTTTTTTTTTTTTCTATTCTCTACCTCTCTTCAAAAGTTAGTTTTGGCGCCAAGCAAATGATACTACTATCTCAGATAAAACATTAATATGAAGCAGAGTCAGTTTAAATTTTTATCATCATGCTTTCCTTAGGGAATAATTTTTTTTAATTCTTCATTATTATTATGTGATGAATTTTTTACTTTTTTTTGTGTGTTTTTATTCCATTTCAGGATGATGATAATGTGGATGTGGATAACATGGAAGAAGATGTTGATGGGGACCTGGCAGATATTGAAGCACTTAACTATGATGATCTGGATAGTGTCTCCAAATTGCAGAAAACACAACGTTACATTGATATTATGCAGGTTTGTTTGTTTCTAACATGTACTATAGTTTATGCCAGATATACCCGTGTTTTGAGTACCAAATAGATTTTTGCATCTTGTTTGTGTATAGCTGATGCTTCTTCTTTTGGAACTAACTTTCACTCCCCCCCCCCCCCCCCCCCCCCCGCC